TCAAACAATCAATATTAATCACATCTTTCATGGATCCGACAACTTTTCAACCACATGATGACACAATTCAAAAAATTCTATTACAATCTACTAAAAAATCTAATTTTAATCCCACCGAACCCCCTCTAAATGTAAGTGGTATAGTAGCATCGAAAACAAATATATAGGTAACATATATTTTCTCTTTTTTTGAATTAAGAAGATAAAACACACAAAACTTATGTAATTTTGCAATATGACTACATTTGCACGATGAATTCCAAAACAATTTCTACTATGATCAGTATTCTAAAATGCATAAATTATGACAAGATGTGATGATCAAGTTTTAAACTTTATGAACTTAGACGAGATCTAGACATTAAAAAAAGTTTTCTTATTTTTAATATTATTTTAATTTTGTAATTATTTTAAAAATTATTGAATAATTAAAAGAATAAATAGCAAACATCTAAAATTATAAAAATACTAGTTCCTACAATTAATCAATTATACATTTTTCAAAGAAATTTTTTGAAACTCAAGTCAAATAAAATGCTTCTAAAAATAAAAAATAAAAAAGCACAATTAGGCAATCAACTTGACAGTTGACCGTTTAGGAATGCTTTTTAGAACATCGACTATAATAATTGAGTATACAATAGTATTTCTCGTTGAAAAGTCAATACTCATAAAAATAATTATCACACAGAATAACTTATTTGAGAACTAGAAAATTAATTATTTTATCATTTACTAGTTATTTCCATTTAATTCAAGTTGGATGTTGGTTGGAAATCTAGGAGGGTTAAAAATAGCAACTTCATTAACATTAATCGAGGAAATCTCTACTAGTATAAAGTCATCCATTCTTGAAGTAAAGGCTATGGATGCCTATTGATCTTGGTGGTGTTTCATTGTATGACCCAATTTGGCAACTTGCATACACATCGTTTTGTGCTACTAAATCATAGTTAAGTATTCACACTTGGCCATAATTCAATGGACTAATTTTGAAAAATTCACCAAATAAACAAATGTGCTTATTAAATGGTCAGATGCACAACTGCACACACGTTTTCTATTCATTCGTTTAATGAATCTTCGAAATGTTCAAAAATAACTTTATCGATTCTTTCAAGTTTCAATATTACTCATTTATATTTACATACTTATATAAGAATATTTTCAAAAAGACTCTCTATTTTTAAAGAGTATATTCTATCATTTTAAGAATATCTATAAATTTAGAAAGAAAGTACTTCAACAAGCTATATTTAAAACTTAATTTTAGTACTCTAAAAAATATTTACTCTTTTCTCTATTTTAACTAATTTATCTCTAGATTATTTTATTATTTTCATATATTGAAAATTGAAACACTCTAAATGCAATTAATTATAGAAAATGAGTTTGGCTTTCCAAATTTGAAGAGACAACCACACTCTCTAAATTAAAATGTTGATTTAAAGAGTCTCCTAGAACATGATTTTACGAGTTGACTCTATAAAATAGAAAGCATTTTATATTTAAAAGAGTGTCTTAAAGATGTTCTAAATCGATTGGTTATAAAGAGGTTATTTGACAAGACTTCTAGTCCCTGTTTGTTTCCATTATTTGAAAAAATAAAGAGTTTTGAATAGTATTTTTTAGAGAATGTATGACTAAAAAAATTATTGATTTGTGTGCAAAATATTTTATCGTGTAAATGTGTGGTGGAAAATAATATTGTAGCAAACCATTAAAAATTTTGAAATGTGACAAACAGGCACCTAATTTTGTTTCTACTTTTCATAGAATAATTTTTTTAGAAAATTATTTTATATTAACGTTCTCGAAAAGTTCTTCTAATAATATAAATTATGTTAAAAAATTTATCCTAACAGACTAACAGTTTCCCAATGTCAAAGTCAATTTTTGAATTTCAAAAAAATTATGTCAAAGTGGCACTAAATCATGTCTAATTAGTTATATTTCATCGTAATGATCAACGATGAAATATCATTTTTTACTCACTATTTCAATTATAAAAATTGGGTAAACCAAATATATACATAATATGATAATATATGAATAATTATTTAAGTGATGGAAAGTTGTCTATTGTATATGAAGAACTTGTCTAGCATTTCGTCGCTAAGTATTTTCATGTTTCTTATTTCTCTTTTATTATAGATTACTTTTTATATGAATGTCGTGTAGATGGTCAATTTATTTTATGAAAAAAAAAATATTTAGTTTTCTTAATAAATCGCATGTAAATAATCAACATCTAGCATTGTATTTTGGTCTTATGTATTTTGCTTGATTTTCAATAAATTTTCTAGAAGAAGATATACATTAGTTACACAAATGCTGATTTCTATGCAATCCCATTGATAAGTATAGTATACTTCACATAGTGATTTGTGTTTTGTGAAATTGAATGAGCAACAATCTTGCTTGGAGTGTAAATTTTGAATTTTACAATAGCATATAATAATGAAATATTTTATACTAGAGACGACTAAATTAAGGAAGATAAGAATGGTTATGTTAAAATGCTTTCATAACATATATGTTACAAGT